CTTCGTTACAGCAAAAAGTAATATACTGCTGTAATATTATTACTTTTTTAATGCGTCACTCCCAACACTGGTCATAGATGATAGTATATGATCACTATGAGCACAATTGAAGCAGCTACCAGCTCCTCATAGGACCCCGGGGTCAGGAGTCGTAGCACATACACACATAAACGTCGGTGGCAGCACCATCGTCATGTGTGTTTATTGACAACAGAACACAGCATGTAGTGAGAACGTGGGTACAAAGTAATGGTGACCGGTAGATTGGAGTCAACATGTGAAAGCGGCGCAGAGATCAAACACTTCTGCCATCATGCCATCAAATTAGTTGATGTGTTACAAACATTAACAGTTTGGTATATTAACAACAAATCCATCTTTTTTTACCGAAAGTCAGACCAACGGTTTAGGGACAGCAAGTTTGACCGACTGTGGCATTATGGGTATTATTGCTCTCAGTATGAAAACAATCATAGGAAGTCATTGATAGTGGAAACCTTTTCAGTAACAAACCAATTTGACCAATTTTATATAATTGAATGACTTTCTATCTAGAATTGAACAACATGCAGGGAACTGCTGAAAGAAGTGAAACTAAGAGTAATGTGAAGAATAGCCTGTAGATCGGGTTCAGAGTAAATGTGTGTTGAGTGGTTAACAGTATTCAGTTCTCACACTGAAGAACATGTTTCACCACCGCTGTCGTGTCTGGTTAGTGGTTATGGTTAGGTTTACACAGTTCATAGCAGAGGACTACAACAGCAGAGGACACCGGTGTTATGGATCAACTGGGGATGTGCACGTGCTCGTGAGCCATTTTACTTAAAGGGTTAGTTACCCCAAAAATGAAAACCTCATACGTCATCTGCCCGGAGCTGCTTCCATGTACAACTGTTGGCGCAAGCTACATTAAAGTGATTATTACATTTTGAATATGGATATTTTTCGTACAAAAACGCATCGATTCGCTACAGGAGGCCTTTGTTCACCCTCTGGAGCCGTGTGAGACACTTTTTTTATGGATGGACGCTTTTTATTTCACTTCTTTTGGACTGAAGCACTGCAACACCTGCTGACTGCAATGATAGAGCTTGGAATAGCCAGGACAATCTTTAATATAACTCTGACTGGATTCGTCTGAAAGAAGAAAGTTATATACACCTAGGATGCCACTGGGGTGAGTAAAACACAGCCTAATTTTCATTTTTAACTTTCCAGCAGATTCGCCAGATGCGAAGTACGAAGCTGCAAAGAAAACACGTTTGGTACATTATAAATGTTCTTAAAAAAATGTTGGTAAAACTATTACACTGTGTTGTTTCCTCAATACCTGTGCTAATGTATTCAACACAGTTTAAGTGTAAATTTAACATGATTTCACATAGTAACGGTTCACAAACCACGCCCACGCTGTCTTGAGACGTTCACTTAAGTAGAACATGACGAATGCTCAAATAAACATTATATTTCAAGTGTAATTCACTTATTTGCAACAATCTTGTTTCAAATTGTTTAACAATGCAATCTATGTTGAGAAAAATAATACATGTAGTGGGATGATGCACAAAACAAAAACTGAAAATCTTAATCTAAACAGAATTGTTTTCTGTGTAAAATATCTTAAACCGAAGCAGCAGAGAAAGCTTACATATTTATTTCAGATGGAGTGTCAATGTTAAAATATATAAACTAAACACATCTTTCGGTAACACTTTATTTCGATAGTCCACTTTAGACATTCTACTAACAGTAAATAGCATTACAACTACATGTCAACTAGCAGTTAGTAGAGTATTAGTAGACTGTTTAATATCGTCTAACACTTTCTTTGTCAACTTTTTCAACTAACCCTAAACCTACCCTAAGTCTACTCTGAGAGTTAGTAGACGTGTAGTTGCAAATTAATGATAATTAGTTGACATGTAGTTACAAAGTTAATTATAGTTAGTAGAATGTCTAAAGTGGACTATCGAAATAAAGTGTAACCCATATTTCATGTGAGTGCAGTGAGAGAACCCTGTTATGACTGGATGCGAATGACTTTTCCCATTTTTAACCCTCCTGTTATGTGCAAATATTGCAACTGATGTGGATGACGTGAATATTTTAATAAATAATAAATTACTTATTTTGTTACTTATAAATTACTTATGTTTTTTTTTCTTATTTCTTGTTTACTCATACAGTCCCTTGTCAATAATGATAAATGAAGAATTTATTAAATAAAATATATAAACTATTGCTATTATATCATTTGTTTGCATATTTAATGTGCTGTAAATAGACTTTGCATGTCTGAAACCTCCCTTTTTGTTTCTTTCATGGATGTTAATCACCAAAACTTTGAAGTATGGTTGAGAGAGCAAGCAATGTACCATTCATATGTAGCCTGATGATAGCATGCCACCAAACATTTTATGTCAGGGTCTGGAACATAAAAATCGGTACACAAAATCAGAAATATGCATGAGCAATAAATTATTCTGTTCATCTGTTATATTTCTCAACATTTTATTGTAGACCCACCTATTACCACTTAATCATTTATATTGTATTAATCAATGTAATTATAAAGTCTTCAAATTTTAATACATTTATTAAATTTGAGAATTTGCCATCAAATTATTAAAGTATATCAGTCAATTGTGTTAAAGTTAAAGCTTGATTTATGAACAGAATAATTTTCACATCGGTTAGCACAGGCCCTTCTTATGAAGGAAGGAGAGGAAACTGTCTCATACTCATGACCAACACACTCATATCCACATTGTCAAAAGATGACCTTTCAGACCTCTGCCGCTCTTGTGGAGAGCAGAATACATGCAAAAGTGAACCTGACCAATGGGTGAGAAGAGTATAGACTGAGAAAGCTGGAGTAGCTGTTCTCTTGTATCATGTCATTATGAACCTTTTGTGCTTTCCTCCTTAGATTGAATATGAGCTGTGGAAGATGGTACCACTGGGACTGTGTGGGCAGATCTTCCACATCTGAAAGACACTGTTGCCCTGCATGCATTTAAAGCGTTTATTTTATTATTATTATTATTTTTTAAATGTTTTTGGGTTTGCATACTTTTTTTTCAATTTCAAGAAGCCTGTAAATGTGGAAACCAGTCCAAGTATGCAAAAACTAAAGCATTAAATAAACAAAAGAAAACTCTTTACACCCAGAGAATGTGAAAATGGGGTGTTTCTAAATGTAAAGTGAGGGTACTCTTCTATCAGATATTTGCATGTCAGTGCGTTGTTGCCAGCTATACAGACTCCAGTCAACTGTTCATCACCCAAAAACAATCCACATTATTTAGTTGATAAATTTGCAGATCTTGGTTCAAAACAATTGTGCAATATATTGTGGCAGAAATCCACTGAGGTGTAAAAAAAACTGACTGTAAAATAGAGGCAGACCTTCTGCAATTTATTGTTTTAATGATAACCTCCCTCACAGATGGTAGCTGGTAGGCTTTGGGGCTCAGAATGAAAAAGCATGGTGAATACTGGCTGTCAAATTCATTTGCTATTTTATTGGTCTATTTAAAAAGAAGAAACACAACTAAATATAGGAACAGAAGATACCCACACACTGAACTTTAACACTACCAATTTATATTCATTTAAATGTAGAACTGAAATCTAAATCTTGTTGTTAAATCTAAAAAACAAAAACCTAAATATACCACTTGCGTGTACTACATGCATTTCTCCCTATGATAGAGTAGTATAAGAAGTTTAAGTGTAATTGTAATTTTTATTGAAGTGTACGTCTCAGGATAACGTGAGCGTGGTTTGTGAACCCTGCTACCGTCATGTTAAAATTACACTTAAACTGTGTTGAATACATTAGCACAGGTCTTGAGGAAACAACACAGTGTAATAGTTGTACCAACATTTTTTAAGAACATTAATAATGTACCAAACGTGTTTTCTTTGCAGCTTCGTAGTTTGCATCTGACGAATCCTGACGAAAGTTCAGTGAAATAGCTCACGATCACATCCCCAGTTGATCCACAACACCGCATCAGTCGGCGCTCGGCTCTCGAGGGAAAGTTTAACTTGTTGAGGTGGAAACAGAACGAGCTGATCTCTCTTCTCACACTTCTCCATTACGACTGGCATCATGTTACTAAATAAGAACTCTAGCAGCATTTAAACACTCGGTCTGTCAGATCAGAGGAAGCTAAAACCACAGGAGGAGCCGAGAGTATTTAAAGAAAGAGTTGAGAGCAAATAATGAAGAGGAAGACTGAGAGGAAGAGAAAATGTCTGATGAGTGTCATCTGTGTCTGCTGGGACTGATCGCTCTCTCTTCACTTCTCACAGGTAAAGAAATCTGTGTTTTCTCTACAAGACATTCAGTGGAATTAGTCTGAGAAAGAGTTCATTTGAACACCATCAGTTTATTCTTGTGTTTCATTCAGAACATACTGGATTATTCCTGAACGCACTAAAACTAGACAGTTTCACACTCAAACATCTGATGCTGAATTATCTTCATATTGAGAGTGTGTTTGTGATTCGAACAGCTCTCTGATGAAGAACAGTAGTTTATTCTGGAGAGTGTGTTTGTACTAATTGGTGAAAAATCCTGTATGATCTGAATCTTCTGCTTTTTATGCTGGTATGTTTTCATTTATTAATATATAACATAATTATAATTCAAATGTTCTTGTGTTTCAGGCTCCAGTGGAGTGGATGATGCTCATGTGTTCATCAGTTCTGGTGAAAATGTCCGTCTGTCCTGTAATAATGCTCTTCATGACTGCAAATCAACTACATGGATCTATAATAACATATTCAGACATTCAGAAACAGTTGAACTGATCACTTTAGGGATAAAGAAGGAAGACACAGAGAGACATGAGAGACTGAGTCTGGGGTCTGACTGCTCTCTGAACATCAGGCACATCTCAAAAGAAGATTATGGACCTTACAGCTGCCAACAATGGACTGGTGTGAATAGAGACCAACAACAAGAACCTGATGCTCGTGTTTATCTGCATGTCCTTCATGGTAATTCTATGATTATGTGGTCAATTTAAAAGAGCAAATTCTTCATCTAAACTCCCATGATGATTGAAGAGTCTGTAATTTGTGTGTTATTTTGTGTTTCAGTCTCATCCTCACAGACTGAGATCAGTGCAGGCCGCTCTGTGACTCTCTCCTGTCAGCTGTATTCAT